CTGTTGAGAAGTGTCTCATTTTGTAACGGAGCTAATTATGTTTTTGTGGTACATATTACCTTTAATGCCGCGAGAAAAGAGCAACTGCTGAGTTTGAAAGGAACATATCAGTAAAATCTACGCAAAATTCTCTATCTTTTAACATCAGAACCAAGCTTTTTGAGCCAGTTTAACTTGAGAAAATAGTCTATACAGAAAACCGGCAACTTCCTCTGTCGCATCCATTATTTTGATTGATATTCTTTACCTTTATATAAATCTAAAATATGATATCACATGGCATGTATCTTTACTTTAGCAAAGAGGACAAGTTAGTAGTTAGTATAAACGTCCATCCAACAACACCAGTCTTGTTTGAAACATCAGATGGATACAAATCACTTTTAAGTATTAGCAATATATTATATAAATTACATATTTTTGATAACTGGTCAAGAATATGATTTTATTATCGTAAGAGTAGGATCAGCTGAATCCATTATGGTAGCCAGGTTAGGTGAGTCAGACAATAGCTGGAGTGTCTTAGCTTTAGATCGCGGTAGTCCATGTAATTCTGCCCAGAATGATACTTGGGATGAAGATCTAAGTGGTATACATGATTCTAATTATTTTTCTGTGTCACAAGATTATCTTCTTGGACGTTTAGTGAGAAATCCTCGATATTATAGTACTGGTGAAACAGTCATGATTAATGGCATGATCGCTGTTGCTCCATGTCGATACTTACTCGATCAATTGTGACGATTGGGATGGAAATAGAATGATCTATTTCTTTACATGATAAAAATGGAAGATCACTATTGTTATTATCTTCCATTATCATTAACTGGGATATCTGAAGAAGATTGTCTTATGTGGCATGGTCAAGATGGTTCAGTAGATGTTGCTCCACCTTTATTTAATCATCTGGCTTAATCATTACTCAAAATGATGAAAGAATATAATAAAGATGTTGGATTTATGTCAGATTATGATAATAAAACTCGACAATATGGTTGTTAGCTTCAACAAAAACTTCACCATTAAATGAATGATTCGAATGCTTCATGTTGTCATAGGTTAAAATTTCTTATTATCATATACTAACAAAGTTC